GCCCAGCTCTCTTAGCCTTTCCTCATGAGAGAGAGGATTCAATGCCTTAATTATCTTAGTAGCCCTTTGCTGGACTCGCTCCAGGAGCTCCATGTCTCTCTTGTACTGAGGAGCCCAGAACTGCACACAGCACTCCAGGTGAGGCCTCACCAGGGCTGAGTAGAGGGGGAGGATCCCCTTCCTCGACCTGCTGGCAACGCTCTGCCTAATGCAACCTAGAGTACCACTGGCCTTCTTTGCCACAAGGGCACATTACTCACTCATGGTCAACGAATTGCTTATTCCAAGTTATGAACGCTATAATCATATACCAATTAATACATAAATTTCAGTTTTGTGTTAAGGCAAATATAAAAGTCTGATCGTTCTAAACAATAAACAGATTTGTTAAAACAGTATATTGAAGAGATTAGTTAAATCCAGAAAACAAACGTATGCCACTCTACTGAAGTTAATAAAATCTTTCCATTTGGTTTCAGTTTGTGTTCATCTGTGATAACAGTTGTTCTAGTTCAGTTCTGGTTCAGGCTTAGCAGAACTTGAAAACAATGACTGATGTTCAAAGTTAAGTTTGGGTTTGGTTCAATTCCACAAACAGAATTATATCCAGGAGGAATTCAAGCATCAAGTTTTCTTACAAAATATGTACGCTTTTAGTCTAGTTCTTTGTGATGAAGTCAAGAATAAGCACACTGTATCTCTTCAATTTTATTCTTGTAGCTGAATGCAGCACTGCATGAACTAACAACAATAATAATTATATAAATTAAGTAAGTAACAATGAGCTGTCATATCAAATAGCAAACGTTTCTAAATCAATTCTTATCTTCTGAATAAAAATATGTTCAAAGAAAAGAAAAAAGGAGAAAGAAGAGAACTCCTTTAAAGGAAAGAAATACTCAGTATGGTTTTGTCATTAAAATGCACATGCAGAGAGAGCATCTCAAAATTAGAGAGTAACCTTAATGTCATAATTTCGTAACTTGTGTCGATTAAGATTGCTTGTCATTAAGACTGCATTAACTCTGCAATCTTAACGACACCTACACGTTCCTAGAAGTCGAAGAAAGCTACAAAAAAAAAAAAAAACCTCCCAAATTCTGCTATATGGAACAGTTGTGATTCCCAAAGACTTTATCCATTGGATGAGAATCTCTTTATCTAGAGCACAGACCACTGCTACTTAAACTGACTCATAGCAATACAGGTTATCATTATTTGTCTGGGTCTGCCCTCGGAGGGAGATAAGCCATACGTTCTGCCAAGAGTACCAAAGGTATTTGCTGACAGCCGAGGAACGATGATAGGTAAGCTGGGTCCTGGCCTAAAGTCTGTGGAGAGCAGTGTTCCCTCGAACAGCCCATTACCCTTTTTCCCCTTTCATTGCTTCTACACTTTCAGCTTGGAATGCAGTCGGTGCAAACAAAAGAACGTAGCTGCTACTCTCTGAAGGACCTCCTGTTGGCCAAACGTTGCCTAAAATTTGCACTCTCATCGTTTGTCCAAATTTGGGGTGGATTTTTCAAGTGGACAGAAGAAGCATAATCCTGACGATGAGAGCGCTCACTGCCAAATTGCAAGCCTTTGCGCTAGAGCTTGAACTGTTGAACTGGTTTTGCTGAAATCTTCCAAAATAATTCCATATGAGGTGGATACTCAGCCTGCAAAACTTATCACTTTCATTGATCAGATGAAATCAGGTCCTGTGAAGGGTTGTAGTCATGCCTGTAACTAGTAATATGACCAAAACAAATAATGTGAGCGATGATCACTTGATGATTCATGATCTTCCCCTCAAATACTATTTAACTATGATAAATCCCTTTTTTAATCTTGGGATAAAAGTGGTTAAAAGGGGAAAGGAAAATCACACTAAAGTACTGGTCAAAATCACAGTGTCAGATTTTGGAAAGCTGAATCAAAGAGATGAGGCTGGTATTTAGCTCTGAATTGGCTAAGGCATGTCTAATGGTTGTAACTTGTCCAGACATTTAGAAACACTGATGACCACATGTGCAAGTCTCATTATTTTAGCCAACAGCCTCATCAGTCCAACAGAACATACCTCGGATCAGAGGTCATGGTCACGAAGGAGGTACCTAATGCTGGCAAAAAGAATTGCACGAAGAGGATTGAACTGTCAATACAGAGACCGTATTTGGACTCAGCATTCGTTGGGAGTCAGGGTGCTCTTAGATGATTTGTTTGTGATGATCTGTGTTGCTAGGCAGATGGGCGGCTGCAGCTTGTACCAACGGGAGCTTTTTCTGGACATGAGACTTCAGTTCCTAGAAATAAGTAACTGAAGTACCTTTAGAAAAAGTTTCCTAAGAGTGATAAACACTTGATTGTGAAAGTGATGGCAGAAAAGCTACATACTCAGAAGACAACACCACTGGCTAGGCAAATATTTCTTTTTCTTTTAAATTCTTCTTTGTTGGATTAAAATCCAAAAAATTATTTTCCTCTTACCTGCTTCACAGAACTGATAACAGTAACTAGCTGTAAGAGGCATAAGACTAGTATTCAGTAATCCAAGTTAAACGTTCCTTATTCTTTGCACTTTCCTTTTGTCTTTAAAATAAGTATTCTCTACTGAATGTGGAATGACTTAGATATCTAACTTCTCTTCCCAAAACAAGAAAGGTTCTAATTACAGGAGTGTGTATTGTATTTTGCTAAGCTTTCCTTAAGTGCTTAATTTGCAAGGCACCACAGCGATGAGGTGGTCTTCCTTACAGTGTGAGTTTTAGTACTAAAACATGTCTATGGGTGAGGAGGACTAGCACAGAAGCATATTCTTGCTTCACATAGCTGACAGGACTGGACATAGACTTGGAGCTTTGCACACTGCTTCATGTAATTTGTGAGTGCTTCCCTCCAGTCATTTCTGGAGCTCATTCTCGCTCAAGAATGATCTCTCTGCAAGCTGTTACTAGGACATATTACCTCCAGCATTGATAGGGCCTGTATTTATTTTTTTAACTACGTGAAGCTAAAGAAAATGTATCTTTAGATTATTAGTAGTTTCTAAACACCAATCTCTAAAAAAGGGCAATTGTTTATACAATGCAATAAAACTAAAACCCACTGACTTTAGAGTTCTTGAAAGGTTTATTCATTCTCTAAAGTCTTCAAGACTCATATGTATAATGTTTTCACTCAGAAGAGTAATAAAAAAAAAATGCTAAAACTAGTCTTCAAGCTCAGGTGAAGAAAAACAGCTCTAGCATTGAGGCTTTAAAGATCTGTAGCACCATCAATTAACAGTTCCATGAGTATCTTGGGCCACCTAGATTTCTTGGAAGAGAGAATTTCAGAGACAAATTTGACTTCACCCTTAAGCTGTCTTTATGCACATTTGTTACAGCAGAGTGAGCTTACAGCAGGTTCACAGTCCACTTTCATATTTTTTGTTGAGGCTTTGGGTAGTTCTGTTATTTTGACTAATAATACTCGAAAGACAGAAACCTCTCACAACCCACCGCACAACCTACAGTTTCTTTAGGACTGAATGGAAAAACTGCCACTCTCACTTACAGTGAGAGGAGTATGCTGCTGCTAGTCTCTTAAGCTGTTAAGACTTGTGCTTGTAATATTCCAGTTAAATGGCTGCTCTTTCTTTTTCAGATGCTAAGAATAATGGCTTTATTGTTTAGATACAGCATTCAAATTCAGAACAAGATTTATGCTATACAGATTTCCTTTGGAACTTGAGATACCACTGATCAGAAATCTGGTCTCACTGAAATCACAGGAATTAAGCGTCTACAGTCCACATCCGTAAGACTGAACTACTTCTCTCAGTGCTAAAACATGATCACACCCATCAGCTGTTCACCCGTAACGTTTTCCAGATCAGGCACTTCTTTGCTTCATTTTTTTAAGTGTAAGAAAGACAGGTTAACTCACCGCATATTTTATAAGGCATCGCCTTTTTAAATTCATCAAAGTTGTCTGCAATTTTGAGATCAGATGCTGGAACGTGTTATGAAATGCAATAAGCTGAATCGTATGTGTATTTACAATGAAGACAAATTCAGTCCTCATATCCATACTTTTTATGTTCTTTTAATTGTAGTTAACGTAGCCAGGAGTACATATTTACAGACCGCCGCTGCTGATGCTCAGCCTTTCTTTCTCCTCCGCTGTTACGGTAACAGTTGATAAACAAACGTTTATGACCTCTAGGTTTTACCACAGCACAGAAATGGAGGCGCCTCGGACGCAGGGGCCGAAAAGGAAGCGCCAACCTGCAGCGTCGCAGCGAGACCAGGCACGGGCGGAAGGCGAGCCGCCATCTCCAGGGCGCCCCGGCCAAGCGGCGGAACGGGGGGGCACGCCCTCCGCAACGAA